AATGTATTGTTAAGTTAATAATTTATTATTTATTTTTCCTTTAAACCAAACGTTATACCGTCTGTTTTGTTTTATTACACAACTATCTAAATTACAAATCATGATTTAATACAAATTGCGTGGGTCTAAAGCGCAAAATGCGAAATCATAAGTTTTATCCAAAGAAAAAAATCTCAAAAAAATGTAATAGCATATTATTATAAGAATGAGAATTAATTTTTTAATTATTATGAAGTTTTAAACGATAATCAGAATCTTGGGATTGTGGAGCCAGAACTCTTTGAAATAAAAGAAAATTATTTGTCGATATATTAAATAAACAATAATTTAGAACCGAATTGCCAAATTTACTTTTTTCAAAGGAACATGCACGATTAACAATTGTTTCACGTGCGTACGTACATGCACGATTAACATAACGTATAGGGCACGCTGCTCTAAAAAAAATTGCATGTACATGTATTGTTCGTTTCAGACCATACACAATTAGTAATTAATTTACTAAATGAAATTCTTAAAATGTATAAACATACGATCGTATCATTGTAATTTTCACACGATAATACATGTACACGCGTTAAGGATTTGGTTGCTTTGTGATCAATGTGATTTCTTAAATGGTTTGACGGCATGAAAGATCCATTGAATTATTTTATTAGGAAGAAGTAGGATGGATATGCGAAATTCCTGCTCTTTTTGCACTTGCAGATACTAAGGTTTTCACTCTAACATATCGTCAATATCATTGGCGATTGATCCTTCTTTTGTAAAGACGAACCTCATACACAAAGTATGTATAGAATTAAAAGCGATGTTAATACGTTCGATCAAATGCAAAATTCAGTTACGGCAATGCAATCCTTTAAATTATCGAGTGCATAAGTCAACGTGAATTTGAAATCTGCATCGAAAATATGAAAGATATGTTATGTTTAAACAAAATTGTAAATGTTGAAATGAATTCGTCGTAAAAGGAAGGTAGAAACATCTTGTTTATATCCGTTCGAATTGGAAACGTACCCAATATCCATTACTTGTTGTTACTTGCACTCGTAAAAAATGGTAATGACTCACTTGAATCGTTAGCGAAAATGACAATCGAGACCAAATACACAATAAGATCCCATACATTCAATAAAAAATTTCCGACATAAGGTATAATAATAAAGATATGGATATTTCTAATAGAATAGCATATGCATGTATATTTTAAATTTATAAAATTTTGACCTTGAATTTTGTATTTTATGTTTTATTTTTTTTTTGCTTTCTCAAATTAAGTTCATCAATAAGAATAGATATTGCCTGTTTTGAAAAAGACGCGCTTGGATAATGCACGCAAAGCTGGGAAGTTTTTCAGTCACATCGTTGTTTGTGTTTAAGACACTCAATTTCGAATTATAGAGAAAACAATCCGAAGTTTCGGAAATAAGCTTGATTTCATCGTTGGACGGTAAACATGATAGATTCAAGGAGTACATGCATGGAATGATACTCAAGTACCCGAATTTTTTTTTATCATTCTTGACGATAAAGCCTGCAACACAAATTTATTTTTGTTTAGTCATTTTAGGAAACGAGTACAAGGCGTGCGTGCCTATGTTTATTGTACAAGATTTGCGCCTGTTTTTCTGCTATTACAGCCATTCGTAAAAAATTTTCAAACTATCGCAGATTTATGTCTGGTTATAGTAATTTGAACTCAAACGAAATGATATTGTGTATACGAGGTAATTTTTGAAGCTTAAAGTGTAATTTTTCGACGTGAAACACAGTAACCTTTAATAAATAAAACCAAATGCACATATATTTATTTATTTGCCATCATCACTGTGAAAAAGACAAATCGAAAAGTATTTTGATTTGAGTCCTAAATATACAAATGTCCGTTTGTATTGACTCGTATTTTTCAATCTAGTTCGTGTGCGCTATAAAGGGGCAATCATTTTTTGTTGTGGAGAATTTTATCACATCAACCAATTATTTTTCACTATTATTATGCATACATGTAACCAATTTTAATATTACAATTATCTATATACATGTATTAGATAACATGTATTAGATAATAAATTTGATTTGTTTTAACATAATTGAGATATATGATTCTGAAAGAGCCTGTTTAATTGCGTTAGAGGCGCGAGGTGATCTGTATGTTACTCTGGGCTTTCAGGAGTGGAAAAACAACCTTTGTGGAAACTTTGCTTCGTTTTCCTTTAATTCCTTATCAAAATTTGGCGTACAGCAGCATCAAATTCTTTGTCAAAAAGAATTTCGGTGCGACTGTCACGTCTGGTTTACTACGTAATAGATATATATTAGGTTTTAGGAAGACGTGATTGTGGAATTTCATCTCCTTGCCTTTATCTATCTATCTATCTCTATAGTAAGATTTCCTTTTAAGCTAGTCATTCAAGCGTTCAACATTTCTTATGTGTGACGGTTTCTCCTTGCGTGAGAAAATAAGCGATAATATATAGTCAAGCTTTTTAGCTTTACCATTTTACTAATTTACTCACGTCTACATTAATAAACACATAATTATCATAATTCTTTTATTTTAATTATTGACAAAATTTTTTGCAAAATCAGCAGCACCGCGCGCGCATTTAAATATGTTACAAAATCTTATAGACGGAACTGTTAACATTTTCAATGAACAACCAGCTGTATTAAATCAGAATGACAATAATGTTCTAACTGTGCTTTTAGAAGCTTATCAGCAATGATCACTTTTACACTTTTTATTTGAACTTTCATTGGATCATGATATTTTCGCTCAACGAAGTTCCTTCAATTTTATGACCAAAATATATATTCATCGACAATTTTCTTTATGTGCACCATTCATTCTTCTCAAATTCTCATTTTATCTCACTAGAATTTTCTGAACTTTAAACTTATTTGTAAATCAATAATATTTATTTAGATGACATAGATTCTGATAAAACTTAATTTAATCAATACAACTTTGGATGTTGCTTAGACAGACATTATGGCTGTCGAAATTCCATTTATTATTTTGACTTTGGACTATTTGATTCATTTCAACAAGATTCGCTTATGGGCTCAAAGATAATAAATACTTGAAGTTTCATGCTTCTGCCCTGAATTTGCATCCCTAATTTACATCATCCCTAATTAATCTGTTAAAAATAGACTTTGCTATTAGAATACATTATTATCCAAATTTAAACCTTCTATTAACATGTAGTAATTAATTAATCATTTCCAAAGCACTTTTTTAGTTTAATATATAATTTTTTTTGCTAAAATGCATCTCTTTAAAATAGATTTTGTTAGTCATTCTCTTAATTAATTTTTTATTTAGCACATGCACATGTATTATGATCGGCGATAGCAGACATATATTAAAAAGCATGTTATTGCACGATTGTATTTTTCATTGAAGATCATGATTTAATCAGTGTCAACTCAATTCGGGATATTTTATAACCTTCAATCCTCGTATAAATGAAATTGATTACTTTGTGTTTACTAACTTCAACTTGTATTATTGAGAGAATTTACATATTAACTTTAAATAAAATTTATATGATTAGAATCAGCTCTATTTAATGGTATATTTATATTTTCTAAATAAATTTGTTCACTTTTATGATTTGAATGTTGATCATTTCATCAAAATTGATATGAAAATAATTAAACACAATTTATGGCACAATAAATGATCAAATTTTGTAATTATTTTTCCACTAGAAATTCTGTAAATGTAATTTGAGTAAAATTGATCACTTTTGTATTTACTAAATTAGGCGCATTCAATAAAAAGCATATGTACTGTACATGCATAAGAAAATTGGATGCATGGTGCGCTACAATCAATGTTTAAATTTCGTTGATTTTTCCAGTTATTAATCTTGTCTGGATATTTTTGTCAGGATGATATATATGTATTTTATATTGTTATTTTTAACAGTAGAGTTTTCTTAATTGCAATTGATAATTCATGATTCAGGGAGCCAGAAATTTATTTTGGATAACAAGCAAAATTATTTTGATAATATAATAAATTTGAATTTAAAATTTTTAAATTTGAATAAAATTTTGATATTAATGATTTATTATTATTTGGATATTAATAAAAAAATTTTGGATAATATTATAAAAATTTGAATATTGATTTATTTTTTGTTATGTTAAAATATAAAATATTAAGTATTTTTAAATAATTCAATATATAATTTTGCCTATTATCTTGTAATATATTATCATAAGCCAAATACTACATTTTATAACACAAGAAGAAATTGATAGAAAAATATAATCAAACGCTATCTCACTCAATAGAAAAAGTCGTAATTAAAGATACCTGCCGTAACTATACCTGAGAGTTGCAACTCTAATTACGGCTATAAAAAATAGATTGCAACTCTGGATAGTGTCATGCAAGCTACTTTCTAAAATGTTGGATCTAGAAAAATAGGATGGTGAGAGCTCTGACTGAAAGAAGAAATTCTCAATTCATTTCAAAGATCTCTCATGTTAGTTCTTTCGAAAGTGACGAGAAGAATTAGGTTTAACGAGAATGACTGACATAGAATTGCTTCAGAAATATGAATAGTTTTGGCTTGATTATCAACACAAGAAGAAAATGTTGAACATATTGATAAGCCAACAAACAAATCTCGAGAAGAATCAAACACAAAGACTCGATTAGTCTTATTTAATACCAGTAGACTAGATTATTATGGATGAATAAGATTTTGGTAATTATACTTCAAATATAGTAGTGATTAATAGACTAATAATGATTCTGGAAGTTATAACTATCAAATTAATATTGTATCCCCCTTGAGAAAGATTGAACTCCAGCGAAGAATATTATGGGCTTAACAATTGTTGTAATTATTCCATTCTTACTGAATTTACTATTAATATTATAGTTCTTTGTATTGTATAATCAGTATCGCCATTGTTCATTATCATTTTAAATAGAGAAAGTCTGCTGTTGCATTCTCCATTTTCTCTTTTAAAATCTATTTATGTGAATTATTTATTTCTTTTCCATACACTTGATTGTCATTTCTGATGTTGGGTATTACATATATTTTAGTTGCACTTATTATTATTTAAGTTGATATGTATTACATGTAATAATTGATTTTCTTTTTGTTGTATTCGTCTTTTTCTTCCTTTTCACTTATTATCTCTTCCTGGATTTAAGTTGATTGCATTTTCTTTTAAAATTTTCTGGTTGTCAGATGGAGAAAAATCAGAATTGGTCAGAATAAGTGTCTCACAAATGCTATTGAACTCATAAAACTGTTTAAGTTGATATCTATTCATAGTCAATTTCAATGATTGATTGCTAGAAGATTGCAGTCGAATATGTCCCATTTTTCAGTATTTTGTGAATATAATACCATTCTCTACTTCATTGCAGTAGAAACTTATTGCTATGGTAGCACGCTGTTTCATGTAGTAGATTAGAACTTTCTCTCCGATATTAAACTGAGTATTAGTTCATAAGCAACGTCATGTCTTTCCTTGGAATGCTATTGTTAGCTCGTTATATTAGCTTGTGCTTCACGTATTTGATTTTGTTAAGTAACCAATTAACTCGGAAAGGTGTATATCGAGTATAGCATTCTGCAATATCTGACACGCATCCCAATTGCTTTCTCTTTGGACACAATACTTTTGCAAAACTCGACAAAAGAATTTGATGAAATCTTTCAACAATCTCATTTGTTTATGGATAATATGATAAGACAAATCTTTGATATATTCCAAACTGACTAGTCAATTCTTTAATGATTTCTGTGATGAACTCAGGCCGTTGTTCATTTGAATTTTCTTTGAGCATTCATATCATCAAATAATATCTTCGAATATAAATTTTGCCACTGTTATCACTTTCTTGTTCGGTATGAATCGAGCTGCTGGCTATCATATTAGGATATCAATGATGACTACAAAGTATTGATTTTCTTTGCCAGTCTAGCTATAAGATCCTACAAGATCTATAAGTATTCGTTCAAAGGGCTGTCCGATTTTTGTCAAATGCAATAGCTATTTATTTATCCGGGATCCTTACGCTGACAAGTTAGACAAGACTTTTACGAAGTCTTTAATTATAGCTTTCATTTCCTCTATCAGTATTTCATGACAATTCTTTGATATATTTCTTTGTATCTGAAGTGGGCTGATAAGAAGGTCTCCATGAATATACACTCCCGTCTCATAAGTCACCGAACACCCTCTAAATTTTTATTAAATCTCGAATAACTCAGTGAAGAAGCATCCAAATGCCATTAAATTTAAATTGACGTTAACAGACATTTCAATGTCCACATACAAAATTTCGATATACTTTAACTTTAACAATTATAACGTTACCTAAAACCCATTTAAATGCAACCGAATTCATTGAAAATCGAGTTTCATTATCTGAATATTTAAAAATTAAAATTTTTCACAACATCCTGCAAATATATATTTGATTGAAAGTGTGTGAAGACCTTTATCGAATTCCCAAATTTCAGAAAAAATCTAATCTCATTGTTGAGAAATTTATTTTTAAATTTATTATACGAAAATGTAACAAATTTTAATAAAAAAGACATTTGGGGTGGCATTCAAGCACTATTATGAAGTAAAAAAATTGTTAAAATATTTATTAATGCTTAATTGCATAAAACTGCTTTTATCCTATTATTCATACTAAGAGCTAAATTTTGATATATGTTATCTGGAATTTTTTCTCACTCATCTTGAAGATACACTGTCAATCCTCTCATTTTTGAAGGTGACTCTTGTTTTTGAATATGACATTCAAGTTCATCACATAGGTGTTTGATGGGATTGAGGTCTGGACTTTGTCCAGTTCATTTCATTACTATTATCCCTGAATTTTCAAAGAAACTCATCGTTAATTCACTGTTATAAATTGGAGCATGTCCTGTTGAAATTCATACTCATCTTTTTCTTCTTCAAATCTTCATATAAATGGTACTAGATAACTTTCCAGAACTTCTCCAATATATCTTTGACTGTTTATAGCTTCTTTAAGATGTATCAAGGGATCCAAAACAATCCCAGGTAAAGAAATCTCACACCATAACACCATCATCATCATATTTGACAGTTGGAATAATACAATCAATATCATATCTTTCCTTCTGCTATCTCTAAACACAAGTTCTGTTATCATTTCTAAACAAAGTGAAACGAGATTCATCACTTCATATCACTTTTTTTACTCACCTTCAGCCCACATCTTGTGATTTTGACACCACTGCAATCAATCCGGTCGGTTCTTTGGTGATATCAAGGGTTTTCTGGCAGTCACTTGATTATTACATCCAGCATCATACAAAATTTTTTTTTAATTGTTGAAATGCTGAATGCTATTCCAGTTGTTTCCACAAAGTTGTTATGAAATTGTCTGGTAGTTTGCTAATGATTCGATCGAATAATTCTTTACAAGATGGCACTTGTCTCTATTAGTTAATATTGGTGGTCTTCTAGTACGTGAAACAGGAGTTGCAGTGCAAGTTTCACAATATCTTTCTATTGTATTATGTATTGTAGTCTTTGGGTGGCCAGTTTTCTCTTCAATCTCACATTCTGAATATCCAAATATCCAGCTTCCAATAATTATTCCTCGTTTGAATTTGGCTAATTCTTGTCATTGAGCCATATTTACTAACAAAGTGAAAAATGAAAGCGTGAGTTTTTATAAAGTTTTTAGCAAGCAAAATGCCAAGCGATAGCGGAAAGGGCGGTCAAGCATGGATGTAATGTGAATCACATTTATATCATGAATGTATGTGCATGTGATTGGATTTATGCTGCCAATCATAGATAATTTTTAAAATTCGATAACTCCACAATGGTGCAAGCTATTAGCACAATCTTTTTTACTTTTATCGTGAAGCTTGATTTTTATGTTTCCAATTGCATTACAACGGGTTCTAAGTAGGTTAATGTTTTTGCTAGCTAATGTGGCTATTTGACAAAAGTAGCAGCAGCAGCATCAGCAGCCACAACCTCAGCAATGATATCCCATGAATATGCCTGTAGTTTATACTTCATCTGTTGTTGGACCCCAAGTCAATAATAATAATAATAATGAAGCGGTAAGCAAAAAACTTCAATCTTCTGTTAATATTCCTTGAGCACTTTGAAGTTTGCTTCGAATATGGTTTACCAAATATGGCATTTTAAAAGACTTTCTCTGTCTTGACTAGTCAATATGATGCACCACCTAATAATATCTCACCAACTGCGAGTCATCAGTTTAAAAATTTCTGTTATCATGTACGTCACTTTATCAATAGCAAGATTATCATCATCAAAAATGATTTACCTCTATTTTATTATTTGATTTTATTTAGATTTTGCAGCAGACTCAGCTCTCAGAAACTGTTATTTTTTTGTCACTTAAATAAGTCCAAAAAAATTGGTGAAAAATGGAACAATGTCTATTGGGGATAAGGGATCAGAATATTGTGTATTCACCGTTGCATTGATTTAGCTAGTAAGTTTCTTGACGATTTACAAATTAAACCTGATCAGAAGTGACAAATATTAGTGTCAAGGAACTTAACATTATGGGATATTTTGGATTGCAAGTTATTCGTGAGCGATACAGAATACAACCACTGGTGCAATGTCTTAATGAGTATACGCAAAGGCAGCATCAACAGTCACTTCATCAAAGGAATAAATCCGCTTCTAAGAAATGCTGCGTCGATTGCCATCACTGCTGAAGCTCAGCAACAAAGGTAACAACAACAATATCAACAACAATCTTGGACTCATAGACCAAATACTTTACAAACTTGCCGCAACAATAAATTCTTTAATTTCATAATCTTTGTGGTTTAACATTATCATGCAATTACTGTATATAGTTAATAATTTGGTATTGTAACATTTTAATTATTTTTATATTTAGCATTGCCAAAATTTCCTTGTGATTTATAATAATGTAAAAGAGCTTTTGAGACAATTATAAGCATACGTTGATGTCTATGTCAGAGCCATACGAAGCTATACCAATTTCGATTGTTCATCGTCGCCAGCCAAAACTACCACCACTAGCTCAAATGTACTCCATGCTCAGTCACACTACGGATCTGTTCAAGCTCAGCAAGGCTTAAACATAGTAAATGGAATCGGTGACTGCCTTCCCTTTTCTTGGATCTTGCAATAACACCAATAACAGTAATAATCTTCGAATTTCTGCTAAAAAGGTAGAAGAAGGTATCGCTGCTAATTCTAGTAGATCTTTTGGTTCGGCCCCTGTTATGATTGCTCCCCTGGTTTTGGTATTGTTGATGGGTTTGGCGCTCCAATCGTATTTTCTTCAATCTTCATTACGTCGTACACATCCATCGATCGGAGCCAGAATGGATTATAACAACACAGGTACTAAAGTTGCTGTAAATGCTGAGATGAGCGCCGCTAATATCAATTCGACGCGTGTTGTTGGCGGAGTTAGAATGTCACAAAAAAAATGATTTTACATGTAAACAGGATCATCTGTAATTTTATTTTTAGGAAGACCAATATTTTTATATTATTTAGCATTATTTTTTTTCTTTATCGATGTTTTCTTTATTTCTCAACAGAATTTGAAATTTATTTAAATCACTAGTGAAATCTCTGTATGACTAACACGTTACATGTTTTTTTTGCAACCATGTAATTTATTTTATAATAAAATAGGTTTTTTCTATTAATTAAACTTTTTGGTGAAATGTAACAGAACCCGGGTAGTTTTTATGGTAAATAATGACGCGTCTTGATATATAAAAACTCTATATTGTCGCGAGTTAATTAATATTCTATCTTTCTCTCGATTGTTGTATCAACAATAAGTCGCTCAGCAATTTGAAACGTTTAATAATTGTCGCAAACTACATGTACTAAGTCTCGAAATTTTAATGACAAAAATCCAGTAATTTCAAAAAACAATCAATCTTAATAAATTGAAAACGAATTTGGTAAAAAACAGGTAGTACACGATCCTCAAATAGATATAATAAAATATACATGCTAATAACATTGATGGCAAAAACAATACACCATGAAGAAATATTCTGTGATAAGTCTTTCATACAAAATAGCACATGTAAAAGATGTAAAAGACGAATATAAATTTATTGGCAATTTTTTAATAACATTTAACTTTTAGGGTCAGAAAAACTAGACAGCACTGTTTTAAATTTATTTTTGGAAGTTTGGAAAACATGAAATTAAATGTCTCTTGGACTATAATACATCTTCGAGATTTTTTATTTAACCCGACCACGAGTTTTAAATCGGGTCGGGATTATTACTTAACAATACAAGTCCTAAACTTAATCAACCCGTCCGTACGAGTCAGG